GGATGAAGGGGTGTTGCCGAGGCAGTGGCGACACGCAAAGATCATCCCGCTGAAGAAGAACAAAAGCGACTACGGTATAGCGAAGGCCTGGCGACCGATCTCGCTTCTCTCGACGCTCGGAAAAGTGCTGGAGTCGGTCCTGGCAGAACGTATCTCGCACGCTGTCGAGACGTTCGGCCTCCTTCCCACGAGCCACTTTGGCGCTCGCAAGCAGAGGTCGGCAGAGCAGGCGCTGGTACTGCTGCAGGAGTACATCTACAGAGCGTGGAGAAAGAGAAAGGTGGTCAGTCTGGTCAGCTTCGATGTCAAGGGAGCATACAATGGTGTGTACAAAGAGAGACTACTTCAAAGACTCAGAGCGCGGGGGATCCCGGACAAGCTGGTGAGATGGGTGGACGCCTTCTGCTCCCATAGAACGGCAAGCATCCTGGTTAACGGTCACGAGTCCGAGGCTCGTCCGCTACCACAAGCCGGACTGCCTCAGGGTTCGCCGCTTTCGCCCGTGCTCTTCCTCTTCTTCAACGCCGATCTCGTACAGCACCAAATCGACGAGAACGGGGGCGCGCTGGCCTTCGTCGATGACTACACGGCGTGGGTCACAGGCCGATCGCGCGAAGCAAACCGTCAGGGCATCCAAGATATTATCGATCGAGCACTCGCGTGGGAACGACGAAGCGGGGCGACGTTCGAGACGGACAAGACGGCCATCATCCACTTCACGCGCACTGGAGGCTGCCGGCGGACTCAACCAGCTTCGTCATCAAAGGTGACACTGTCCGAGCAAAGGACCACGTCAAAGTATTGGGAGTGATGATGGACACGAAACTCCGTTTCGAAAAGCACATCGCAGACGCGACGACAAAAGGGCTGGAGGCCGTGCTGGGGCTCAAACGGCTCAAAGGCCTGTCTCCGGCGACGGCCAGACAGCTTTTCGTGGCGGCCGTAGCACCGACGATGGACTACGCGTCGAACGTCTGGAGGTACAGGTGTCGAGCAGCGCAGATGAGGGTGATCAACCGAGTGCAGAGGATTGGCGCCCAAGCGATCGTGGGAACCTTCAACACGGTGGCCACGGCGGTCGCTGAAGCGGAGGCAAGCATACAATCGGCGCAAGAGAGGTACGACAGAAAATCAACGACATTCTGGGTACGGCTGCGAAGCCTTCCCAAGACCCATCCGCTTCGACGTCTGCGGGCGGTGGCCTTTAGACGGTTTCCGTCACCCTTCCAGTTGATGGCGGAGGCCTATCGCGACCTACCCCTTGACAAGCTGGAGACTATCGAAGGGTATTCGATCGCTCCTTGGGAACGTCGTATTGATACAGTAGTCGACGACGACACGGTCAAGGCCTCTGAGGCAATCCGGTCTGGATGGGCAGTGAGGATAGCGACAGGGAGCTCAGCAAGGAACGAGGTTGTGGGCTTTGGAACGGCGACGACGCTGCCCGCATCTTTCAGAGGGGGCGGTGGCGTCGTGACGGCCTCGCGTACGTTCGGTCAGAGAACGGAGCAGAACCCGTATGTAGCAGAGCTAGCGGCACTGGCAGAAGCGGTCAAGTCTCTCCCAGAGAGACTCGAGTACCGGGCCATCCACGTCTTCACCCGCAACAAAGCGGCAGTGTTGGTGATGCACAACCCGCGGCAGCAGTCAGGCCAACAAGAGATCCGACAACTATATGCCAGCGTGCAAGCTCTGCAGAGACGAGGCAACAGAGTCACTCTCTTCTGGCTTCCATCATCGATAGAGTCAGACCTGGCGCAAGCGGCCAAAGCAGCAGCAAAGGAAAGTACCCAAGTAAACAAGACACCACAAAAACGGCCGGCCAGAGCCTACTCGACGGCACTTAGGATCGCTTTACAGAGCGTGCGACAGAAGCACGGAGCCTTGCCCGACAACGTAGGAGCATATTCGAAGAAGATCGACATAGCCCTGCCGGGAAACCACACACGCAAGCTGTATGACGGACTGGCCTGGAAAGAAGCCAGCATTCTAGCGCAACTACGCACCGGAATGGCAAGGCTGAACTGGTACCTCTACCAGATCGGCGCAACCGCCGCGGCGCTATGCGCTTGCGGGCAATCTGCAGAAACGGTAGAGCATTTTCTCTTTCGATGCACACAGTGGACGGCACAGCGGACTCGGATGCTCCAACAGACGGAAACGCGGAGAGGAAATCTGTCATACTTCCTGGGAGGAAAGCGCGCGTCCGACCCTAAGGATTGGTCGCCAAGCGTAGACGTTGTCAAAGAGACGATCAAGTTCGCCATGAGCACGGAGAGGCTAGATGCACAGATCAGCCAGCAGCGAAACCACACGCAACTAACATCATCAAATTAACCGGAGACACCCCCACGCATCCTCGTGCCATCGACAGCAGGACTAGCTTCGGCCGCCGACGATAGGACGTCGAACACTTTGAGAAACAACTCCGAGATGGCCTGCTACTAACCCCACGAGCAACCGCAGCATCGACATGCAAAACTAAAAAAGACACATACGGAGACGAACAAGACTTGTATGGGCTTCTGGGAGGCAAGGATATGAACGAATGTGGAGAATATGTAGATAATCATGCGAGCCCTAAACAGCTTAGCCGGGGCGTAATAAACTATGTATGTATGTATGTTCAACGACAAGATCTCCCCCTTTGAGCCCCTGTTTTCGACCGCGCTCATCGTGAACAAGATAATGAGGAGAACGTCAACCTCGGTGATCACGGAGGAGGAGTCCGGCCCCAAATATCTATACTCTGAACGTCACGGCTCCCGGCTTTCGGGGCCGGCTGTTGGGGAAAGTTTGCCATTGTCAACATCCACTCCGGCGTCCGGGGCGATGGCGCAATTGCGGGATGTTCGACGGTACGGAGCAACCCCTGCGACCCATGACCAATCAAATTGCACCGTCTTCGTCACGAAAGGTTTAGCGTGGATGTCGTGATTGCTCCCAGACCACGCCTCTTGCTTAGAGATGCAAATTCCTCAGCGCTTGTTCAATGCGATGCTCCAAACAAGCTGCGATTGCGCAATAGTTGGGAAGCGGGCTCTCGTCCCTCAGTCCCTCTCTCGGCCTTTGGTTCGATCGGGGCTCCTGTCTGAGAATGGGTTGGAAAGCAAATTAGTAATGTTGCTTGGTGATGGCACTGTGCCCAATATGCACAAGTCATCCTCCTTCCGCCTCTTTAACTCGCGGTGTAAGCTCTGCCTGCCTTAAGTGCCTCTTGTCCTCATAAAACAACTACTGCCTTCTTCCTCTTCTCTGATCTGAGCATCTGAACTCACTTTCCCCAGCTTCAGCATCTTGCGTCATTTGCCTTTTATCCATCTTGTCTCTTGATCAAAGCCTTGTCGAGTGAATTATACCCCGGGTTTTCAACACACACCCTCTGACAACCACTACTCGTCATATACCCGTGGTGCCTTGCGGCCACGCTCTGTCCACTCATCAAACCCCTCCTCCGTCAACTCATACACAACCTTACACAATGGCTGCCGTTGTTGAGCCCACGACGCAGACGTCCTCCGTCGAGTCGTCTCCCCGGTTGAACGCCGCCGATGCTGCAAAGCTTGACCGTGTCGAAGTCGAGTCCGGATATGGTTCCGCCACAGATACTTCATCGACATCGTCGTCCATCCCCGCGCTCCCCTTGATCTCCCTCACCCAACCCCACCTCAAGCACCTCAACGACCAGCTCGAGAACATGCATCCCCTCGACATCCTCCGCTTCTCAAAGATCATGTTCCCCAACCTCTTCCAGTCGACGGCCTTTGGCCTCACCGGCCTCGTCACCCTCGACATGCTCTCCAAGATCCAAAAGGAGAACCCCTCCGCCGCCAATGTCGACCTCATCTTCCTCGACACCCTCTACCACTTCAAGGAGACCCACACCCTCGTCGACCGCATCCAGGAGCGCTACCCCAACGTCGCCCTCCACATCTTCAAACCCTACGGCGTCTCCTCCACCGAGGAGTTCGAGGCCATGTACGGTCCCAAGCTCTGGGAGACCGAGGCCGAGATGTACGACTGGATCGCCAAGGTCGAGCCCCTCCAGCGCGCCTACCAGGAGCTCGGCGTCGCCGCTATTCTCACCGGCCGCCGTCGTTCCCAGGGAGGCGCCCGCGACAAGATGCCCGTCATCGAGGTCGACGACGAGCGCGGCGTCATCAAGATCAACCCCATGGCCAGCTGGTCCTTCAAGCAGGTGCAAGAGTACATCAAGACTCACAACGTCCCCTACAACGACCTCCTCGACCAGGGCTATAAGTCCGTCGGCGACTGGCACTCCACCGTTCCCGTCAAGGAGGGCGAGGATGAGCGCGCCGGCCGCTGGAAGGGCCAGCAGAAGACCGAGTGCGGCATCCACAACAAGAAGTCGCGCTACGCGCAGTACCTCGAGGAGATGGAGCGCAAGGCCGTCGAGGCCAAGGGCGCCGCCCCCGCGTCGTCGGCTGAGGCGGCAAAGCAGGGCGAGGCGGCCATCGCACCCATCGTCAAGGCTGAGAAGGAGGAGCAGGCTATCGCATCGATTTAGAAGCGTTGCTTTGTCTCTGGTGCGATTTGGGACTTGCTTTCTTTATTAATGACCTGTATATACATGATGCATGACGGCGTTCAGGGAGGAAACAAAAATCAAGGGACGGTACGAGACAGCATGCAGGCGTTCCGGATAAATCCAGGCCATGGGCCAGGAGGTATCTCGCATTCAGCGGATACTCGATTCTACTTCGTAGATAGCATAAGCAAAAGACTTTATGAATCAATCAATCGATCGATCAAACTTGAAGATCTTAAGTGAGACGTGAAGTGAAGAAAGAGACGTGGTGAGGCTCTAATCTCTGTGTCCCACAGGGACCCCGCATTCGGAGGATTAGTGGAAACCAGACAGCGTATCCTAAGATCATAACACAATCCAAGTGAAATCTGGCGTGGCAAAGATAGCCCACTGACATGTCATCTGCAAAGCTTAATTTTGATATTGAGATTGGTTCAGATGACATCTCGTGACCACCTTCCCAAATCCACAACGATGGATTACTCATATAGCACTGCTGCAATCATATGGTTCTTCAGAAAACTGAGAATGTTATATGATACCATGCACATTTTATCACATTGCAAGACAGAAATCTTGAAGCGCATGGAGTTGATTGGCTAGCTCAGATCAAGGCAACTAAAAGAACACGAAGCTGGGTCGCAAGCAGCTCCTGCCGTACTCATTGAGAACCATGCAAGAAACGTGATTCAAGTTCATGATAGAGTATTCGCTCACACGAAAGAGTAATCCAATGTGAGTCTCACTGAGCTTCAACATAATCTGCTACGTTCTGCCCATCGGAAATGAATGATGGGCCGAATAACTTGAATGATGTGTAGTAAAGGTCAGCCGGACAAAAGGCCTGTCTAATCGTACATAAGCAAACCTCCATTGCTCGCCTTTGCTTGGCTAAGAATTTCTCCAACTATGATGTCTAGAGATGTGATACCTTTATAAGTTTCGAAAGGTTGCTGCTTTCGGGGGTAGGCCAGTTTTTTGTTCACAAAAAATAACGTCTCCTCATCGCCACCCAGCGACCATGCATAATGAATAGTCAGAGGCAGCCGCCATCAGTATTTGCGCCAAGGATAGGATACAAAGACGCAACTACCGTATCAACGGATATTGAGGCGATACGCATTGCTCGTATGTGGAAAAAGTCAAGATATTTCCATCCATCTCATCATCCTCTCCGTCTGTTATACACAACGTTTCCTCACAACGTATCGTAGGATAATGATAATCTACCCGCTACATCATAGCAGGATAACAGAGAGCTCTTTCAAGTATCATCGAGATCAGCTGACGCAACGGACATGAGCAGTTTCCAAGTCATTTTCTCGGACGTAACTCAAATGAGTGCATCACATGTTCAGATTCTCCCGAGCTCTCCCATGTATCAAATCAGGCACGCAATCAGGAATGAGAAATCAAAGTCATACGATGGGTAGTATACCGTAGACTCTGGGAATTCAAGATACCGGCGCCGTCGGGCGAATGAACGAGCATATACACCAAAAGCTAGGGACAACGATCACCGGCTTGGCAGCGGTCAAATCAGATTTTGATATTAAAAACGCAACACCATACGTACCAGATAACCTGATCCACCGAAAGTGTTCTCTGGTTCACTAGTTCTCCGGGGTAGCATCGGAGGGTAGGGTAATATACAACAAGCTTGGGTTCACCGGCTCCCGTCCCGGCGACGCACTGTGTATAGAGGAACGAAATCGCACGGTCGAGGTACCTCACAGCACTCACGACCGCACACTTTTTTCATCTCACATGAGCTGAACTTGCGGGCAGACTTCACTTACACGCAGCCCAGCGGCAGAGAAAAAAACTACCTCAACGCCCAACGCACGCCCGACCTCACCGTCTTCGTTCATCTTACAGCGACCAAATCAGTCAAGCTGCAGAAGAGAACCACCCAAGGCCAGCAAAGGATTTCTTCCGCCAGGTTGAGTGAGAGGAACACCCCTCTCCGTTGAAGAAACACCCCACCACAAGATACCCAAGTCCAAGTCACATAGGATTCTACCAAGCCTGTTCAAGAGGCACGGGAGGATAAGCAGCATCATGGCACCGTCGCAGAAGAAACAAGGACACCAACAGCTGCCCGTCCCACCAGCAACCTTCACCACCCGCAAACACAAGATCCTGGAACAGCTCAGCGTGCCCGATGCAGAGTACACCGACGCCTCGCCCAAGGGGTCCGTGGACGTCGGCATCCGGGAGCTGATTGACGAGCTCAACGCCCTCGACGGCTTTGTCACGACGAGCAGCTGCGCGGGGCGCGTCAGCGTGTTTCTCGAGGGGCGTAAGGCGGGAGGAGGAGCTGCGGGAACGGACCAGGGGGCAGCAGCAGCAGCAGCGGCAGTCTCGTCATCTTCTCAAGACGATGATATCCCCGCCCCTGCGGTCCTCGAGACGATAGCTGGACCCGGAGGAAAGGGAGGCGGGGGCACGTGGCTGTTTGTATCGCACGATCCCGTTCCCGGATCGCACGACAATGACGAGGATTTGCTGCGTTTGTTTGGTCTCGTGGACGAAGACGCGGGAAGAGGAGCAGGACAGGAACCCGGGCAGGCTGTCGAAGTATCGGGTCGCTCTCAGTCTGGGCGACGGAAGCGGCTTATTCACTTCAAGTTTGAGCCCATGGTATGCAAGACCGTCTCCGTTTTCTCTCATGCATGATTTCATTTACACACACACACACACACACACCTTACCTCACTCGTCTCCTACCAAGGCAATGTCACCCCAGAGACACATCTTTCCTTTCACAAGGATCCTGGGCAGCAACAAGACTCACATGGCTGACATACACCTCCCCTGCATAGATCCTCCACGTCCTTACAGCATCTTTATCTCACGCCCAACTCCTCCTCAAATGCGCCCTCGCAGCAGGTTTCCGCGAAAGCGGCGCCTTGAACCTCCTCCCCTCCGCATCACAAGGCGAAGACGAAGCCTTGTCGTCATCGCCCGTGACGCCAATGGTTGGCGTGAGAACAATGGGTCTCGCCCTCGAATCTCTAATCGGGTACGTGGATGAAGACGCCGCCGAAGGCAGCGTACGTCGGCACTGCACCGTCACGCCAGACTACCTCCGCGACCTGCTCCACATCGCCAACGAGCGCTTCGTAGAAAACGCCGCCCGCATCGCCCGGTTCCGCGCCGCTCTGCAGGAGGCCGTCGCCGGACCCCCGCCTAAGGTGGGCGAGGGTGGCGCCGCGTGGGAGGACGCTAACGCCAGGAGGGAGAGGAAGAGGGCTGAGGGTTTGCGGCGGAAGGAGGAGGTGTTGGCTGCTAGACTGAAGACGGAGCAGCAGCAGCAGCAGCAGCAGGAGACTACGTCAGAGGAACAAGGTCCGATAGAGCTGCTGAAGGATATATGAGAAATAAACAAAAATGAAGACTTCCATTAAGGGGGGAACTTGTGATGTGAAGCAAGATTCATTCGCCATCTATACACTTTTTTCTCTCTCGTGTCGTTTGCCCGCCAGTAGCATGTTGTTACACTTTCACGTCCTACTGCCCTGCTTCTTCTCTTGATCCAGCGTATCTGTCTAACCCCCTTCATGGCTCACAAGAAAACGCAAAAAAAGAAAACCTTCCATGTCTATTTCATCTCCCCCTTTCTCAAGGAAGACTCCCCTGAGGAAGAAGAGAGGGAACTCAACCAAGACCTCCCCTTTCCTCGACTCAAGAGACAATCTTCTCAACCCACCCCTTCTCTAACCGCTTCACCTCCTCCTTGAAAGCCTCAACCTCCTGCCAGCAGTCGAGCGGCCGGCGGTCATTATCCCGCAGACACCGCACGACGTTGCCGCGCGCCGTCTCAACCGCCTCGGGAAAATCGCGCACCTTTTTGCGCTCGGCCAGCTTGGCGCGCAGGGCCTCGACCTCCTTCTTGACGCTCTCGTGGCTGCGCTGGCCCTCGGGCGCGGGCTTGTCCTCGGTAGCAATCTTGTCGTGGGCAAGGCGGAGGGCCTCTGATTCCTTGGCCTGCAGGCGCTTCAGCTCCTCGGCGACGCGGCGCTGGATTTGGATCTCGGTGAGTTGCGTGCGAGATGCGTCGGTCTGTATGGTTTGGCGCGAGAGGTTAGCTATTGGATCTTCGGCTTATTGGGGGAATAGATGCGCCAAGGGGGTGAGGGATGAAAGGGTGGATGAAAAAGGCCGAGACGGAGGACCAGGCTCCGATTTTGGTATGGGATATATAGAGCTTTCCATCGAGAGTGTTCCGGTCCATATAGGGGAGGCGATATTTACCTCATGGCTGGTCTGCAGGGACTCGACGAGGTCGTGGGAGATGCCGCTAGGCGAGCTGCTGGGCGAGTATTGGATTAGCCGACGGATTCTGCGAACGGGGGGCAATTGGGATGAACTTACGCCTTCCACAGGTGTGGAGGCGTGCTGGAGGACGGCTTTGACTCGCTGGCACCCATGATTGCGGCCTCAATGGCTGGAGAGGTGATTTGAATGTTTGGCCGTGATGGTATGGAATTTTCCGGACCGTGACAGACAGTCGTCAAGCTGCAAGCTCCGATGGGCCGGCGAAGGTGCACGTGACAGCCACTGTACTCCGCGACCTTAGTCAGCAGATAAGCACGAGCCACTAGGGATTATGTCATCCTGCTGGGCCCCTTATTGTAATCTCCTTACATAAGACTCGAACGCAAGCGGGATTGCGGGCCACAAGCCAGAAAGATGTCTTGGGTTTTCGGGCAGCTGTAGCGGGCTGGTGCCGATTTCTCATTGTCCATATTCCATACTGCCTTACCCACAGCACGCAGGTTCTGAACATTGTTCTGGAAGCTTTTGGAGGCGAGCACTATCTCCCTAACCTCTGGCCAGCCGCATCCACAGTGACCCCCGCGCTCCTACCACGCGCGGCCCTTGGGCCAGGTATTTCATCATCCCATCTTGTTTCAAGGATCGCAGTCAACAGATAGGCGGAGTTGGCAGATGGGGGTATCCAAGTTCGCTTTTTGGTTCATCAAGGTTGAGATAGGACGGCTATCTCGGTCAGATCCATGAGGCTTCCGGAGCAGAAGCGCCCACAAACTCCCTCTCCGTTGGGCTGTCACTGAGCCCAGGATGGATGGGGAAATGTGCATGCCCCGGCGCCAAGAGGGCGGCAAGGGAAAAAGGAAGGAGAAGATATCGTGATGAGGGGCTAGTCGCGAAAGAGAAGCGTCTGCATACGGATACAGGTAGAGGCTAGAGTGACGAGTGAAGATGAGGAAATTTGAACAAATCTCACGAACCGTCCGAATATCTCGGCTTCATCTGCACGCGTTTGTGTGCTAATGCATGCCAACGCTCACCTGAAGCGGACGGGGCCTGCAATATCGTTGAAACGATAGGTCACCGAACAAGCAAATGACTTCATGGGGGCATCCCCTCTTCACCCACCGCACGTCTGCACTCTTCCAGGCCTCCTCCCAGACCTCGCAGACCTCTCAGGCATGTTGGTAGGTCGCTGGCGCCTGGTAGCGGGCGGCTTGCTCCCTCGCAGAATCCCTTCGGCCCCTCTACGAAGTAGATACTGCGGCCCATCTGGTCGACCCGGCCAGGCGGTTGCGAGGATGCCAAGTACCCATGGTGGACGTTGAACTTGGGAGCCTGGCCCTGGAGGGAGGGAAGACGCCTCTATGCGGAATCTGGCTCCGAGGCCGAGTGCTAGGATGTTCGGGTGTGTTAATTTGTTTGCAACGACGCTTAACAGGGACTCCCCGCTGAACTGAGCTGGAACCCCGGCGGGCACGGCTACGCCGTCACATCCCGCAATTTGTATGCGGCTGGACGAGAATTGCGAGGTCCAAAGGCGCGATTGAAGAAAATTCGCTGGTGTTTTGAAGGAGACGAGAACGTTGGATGGTTTACCCAGTCGGTTCATCGCTCCGTCTCCGATGGAGTCCCCTCGTGAATACACTCTACTATGTATCTTGGCTTCGTTGCTTGGTTGCTGTTCGGGGGCCATGCGAAGGCCGGGGTGCCCTATGCCGAAAGGGTTGATTGCTATCAAGATCAGACCGAGCTTTGACTCCTGACAGACCACACAGACTCCGCGAACTGCAGCCGTGACAGGAGTCCTCAATGACAAGCGTATGAGTCTAAATTTTATTGAGGGGTAGATAACATCTGTCCAACAGCCGACTGGATGGTTCTAGTAGTGCTGGAGATCCGACTAACGTTCGATTACGATCCCTCGGCTGCGAGCTGCAACTTGCAGGGGAGACGAGATAGGGATGCCGTTGATGTCAGTCGTGGCAAAGGAAGAAGATGGTTTGATAGTTTGGTTGATGAGTTAAAAGCACGGAAACCTCCGGCGCGGTACCACGGAACGTCAGGTGAATGCCACGGCAGAATCGGCCGAGAGGGACGGCACAGCATTATGCCTGAGACGTGGATTCATGACTTTAACGAGGGGCTGATTCACATGCTCAGACAGCTTGAGCAATGAGTGGGTGGTAGGTTTTGCTTTCGAACTCCTTTTGGGAATTCCCTCTTCCATTGAATACCCATCAGTTCGTCATCACCCGAGCGTCAGTTGCCGTGTCTTCCAGAATTTCGGAAGGGAGGAAAATGGTTGGGTCCAAAATGGATACGACGATAGCTGCACATCTTATGGCCCCGTTTCTGAATAATGTCTGTGTCACCGTTCCACACCACATCGGAATCCGGATGCCTTCTGACACACTAGTATGCAGAATCGAGAGTAGCCTGCGTTGGTGACCTCGTGGCGCTGGACCGAACGGCTTTGGTCTCGGCTTGGATCTCAACTCAGTGAACCAGATCAAGCCTGGCGCCAAACAGGGCCCGAAGATACGGATGACCGATGGGAAGCAACGGGAATCCTAACGGATGAGGACATTATCAATATTGTCTCTGGCCTGGGAGACACTGGCCGGCCAGACAAGTCAATTCCAACGGTCTGCTCATGGGGTCAACAAGACGAGACCACGAAGGGAACCACGGGGTCTTTTGGATTGAAAAGTCGGTGGCCCAGCCAATGGTTGGAATTTCTTTTCCTTCATCTCAATGTGTTCCTTGGCGGCTGGGCAGAGGAGGCCTTGTTGGACGGTGGATGAGAGGCCCGTCGTGTTCGGTCGCTTTGGTGGATCTTCTGTGCAAGTCGAGAATTCCTGCAGCTTCGTGCCATGTGCGAAGCCGAGGAGACATGTCGACTTCAGGTTCAGTCGGACCCATGACAGAGAAGCAGCAAATCAGCAGCACTTCATGAGAAGGATTGGTCGTTGTGCTTGGCATCTTACGCGAACTGGTCCAGCTGGCACTAGCCGATAGGTCGAGGGCGAGTGTTCACCCGAGCCAGTATCCTTGTTCGTCCGGTCTCTTCCCCTGTCATTTCCTAGCCTGTGTCCGTTCGCCCCTGGATGAGGGCCCCTTGGCTGGCTGTCAAGCCCTCTGAGCGACCCAGTCCAGTCAGCAACGCTGCCACATTGGCAAGCCCAACAACTGATTTTGACCAGTCAAATCGCTTACGGGTCGGGAAGATGGCGAAAAGCCTGGAAACACTGGGCCATTCAGACTGCGTGTTTGGCCAGGAATGACGGCTCGGCGGAATCGCCCAGCAGAAGCCAAGGGAGCTGCAATGGCCTGTTGCAGCGATGTCCTGAGTTACCGAGCCATGAATAATCAGCAGAGTTTGCAATTGTGCAGCGAGCACAGCCTATTCCCATTGACCCGTAGACCCTGAGGACCCCAAGTTCCTGATTTTGGGATGACCGAGGCGTAGGGTGAGACCGTTTGCGGCATGAGATCTGGCGATGAAGGAGAGAACATATTATCCCTCAGCATTCCACCGGTCCCAAGATAAAGATTCGACGACGAATGGTCCCCGGAAGAACAATTAAGGTGCCGGGTTGTCGAGAGACGAGAGAAGCGAATGGAAATCATGGTAATCAACGCGGCCGAATAGCTAGGGACCATCCCTTCAGCCCCAGCGAACGGTAATACTGGATCTCAATGATTGGCGACCAGGGATCGACTCCCTCAGAGCCTGTCCCTGTGTGTACAGAATAAAGTGCCTGTGTACGTATCCCCCCGTCAGTGACATCCCTGCGTTTACCGTGAGCGACTTGCCTCTTCTTGACCGCTGGCCATGAACCCCCTCCTTTTATCCCACTCTCACCTCAGTCTTGCACAAAGTGCGAAGTCCCTTTGCTTCCCTGGATTATTCCTGTTCCTGCATCGTTGACTTGCTTTCCGTGCTCCATTCGCCATCTCCGCCGGGGTCATCAGTTGGCACTGGCATGAGCAACACCGGTACGTGGGTCGATGTGCAAGGCGCAGTGATTCCATTCCAGCAACCAAAGGATCGGAATAGGATTAGACTGACAGCTCGGTGGGCAGATGTGGTCTTGGTACCCTTGGATTTGCTCCTCTTTTTGACCATTGAGTTGAGAATTGCGCGTCTGTAGTACTCTATACGGTTCAGGTGGTAGGACTGGAATTGGTATCAAGCTGACCAGGCAGTCGCACGTAGCCGCGGAGTGGAAAAGGGGTACATGGCTAGCGCACCGCGTATGTGAGGGCCACGCAGGTACCAAGCTGTGCCATGCCTTGCCATGCCCGACCTTGGTTCGTCGTCTCGTTCGTGAGAATGCTCGGCAGGTCATTGGCGCAGAGGAGTCCCCGTATCTGTCTGTATCTGTATCCTGGTTTGGTAACGGATACTTGCCGAAGCCAGCTGGGAGTGCTGGAGCCTGTGTGTACCTGCGAATAGATGAGCAAGAAGCTGGCAGAAACCAGTCAAGCGTGGGCTGTGAGGTCCAGTCGATCCAGTCATTCCCGTTTGCCCTTGCACGCCACCTCAGATCCAGGGGGGATTTGGGAATGGACCATGTTGCCCTTCCCAGCTAGAGCCCAGCAGCATCCAGTCCAGGCCGCCCCAAGAGGAGCCAGAGCCTACCTAGGAGGAGCTAGGAGGAGGAGAGGAGCCTCTCGGCGGCGCTGTCGTGGGTCCCCCCCGGCCCCGTCGTGGCTCGCAGGAGGTCCTTCATGGCCCGTCCCAGCCAGTCTCTTTAAAGTACCTTAATCGCCCTCTCCACGCTTGGTGATCCAACCACTCTTTGTTTCTCCTCGCCCGTTGTCACGCTGACTCTCTTCGGTCTCCTTTCGGTGAGACGGTTCGCTTTCGACTGGAATTCTGGAATTCGACTATTTTTTCTTCTTTGCAAAAGAGAGGCTGGACAACACTCGACGACGTTACACGTATTCTTCTTCTTTGGTGGATACCGATTTGGACTTGTTTCGAGTAACAAAAGACTGAGCAACGAAAGAAAGAGAGAGAGAGCGCGAAACACACAGCAGGGGGAACTGAACATCTGAGGTCATTGGACGAACACCACCCACCAAACGCCAGGCAAAAGCGGAAACAACGACCGTTGAACCCGACCCTTCCAACCTCACTCTGGAACTTACAACCACATCACCACCCTCACTGCACCTTCCTTCCCTCACGCTCTTTCTTGCTCTTTTTGCATCGTTTGCA